TTCTACTCCTGACATTTTGGAGATGTTAGCGCTTTATACAGTAAAGTTACAGCGGGATAATATCAGGCTGATCCTGCCAGGATTTGTTCCCTCGGTTCAAATCATGGACAAACAGGATCCCACAGCTGTTTATGTTTTTAAACCCATTTTGGACAGAGAGATATTTTTGAAAAATGTATTGACAGCAATGTTGAATATTATTACACAGGAACAAAACAACTACACGTAAAATAATCACACGTGACGCCTCTGCCTTTCTAAATGAAGGGACAGTAACTGCGTGTGTGTGTAAGCATGTAAACACTGCAGACAGAGACAAAATACTGTTAATCTGACTATCTGCCATTCTGCAATTCATCTCATGTAAACAATAACGTGGCGCACAGCGTGACGTGAAAAAGGGCACATACCTTTGACGTTGCATGACGAACTCTGTATTCCTCGTCCACACATAAACCCAAAAAAGGGGTTTTTAAAAATCTCCGTTTTCGGTGATTCGAAACGCTGTTTACGTGTGAACGAAACAGCTGCGTTTTCAAAATCACCCGTGTAGGTGCGGACGCAGCGTAAAAGAGTTAGTAGTTTATTTTCTTACTACCTGTAATTTATCGCAGGTTACTTGTATTTGCTTAATTGTTTACTAAATGTTTGAGGTGTGAAAAAAACGCAATGGAGCAAAATATGGGCGTGTGTGGTTGGAGGATGTGTTTGTGCGTGTGCATGCGCGGGGGGGGATATTTTTCTTGTAAAACAAAGGGGGGCCCAGCAAAAAAAGTTTGGGAACCACTGCCCTATGAGCACTCTCAGCTGGAAAGAAAAACTCCCTTTCCAGAGGAAAAAACCTCCAGCACAACCAGGCTCGCGGAGGAGCAGCCGCTGGGGGTTGAAGGGAAAGAGAAGAGGGTGAAAAAAGATAAGATAGAGACAAAACCCACAGTATGAGAGAGAGGATAGAGTTTAATGACATGCAGCAGGGATTTATAAATATACAGGAAGCTATCAACTGGGATTTTCCCACACTACCATCTCTGGGGTTTATCATCTAACCAAGCAGCAGTTCTCTGGGTGAAAATGCATCGCTGGCGCCAGAGGCCAAAGGAGGGTGGCCGGACTGCTTTGAGCTGACTCAAAGAAGTCCTATTTTCCTTTAGTTTGCTGTGGTGGTGTGTTTATACCAGGACATTGTGGGTTTACAGAGACAGAGAGTGGGTGTGGGTAGGTAAACCAATTCAGAGCCACCTAAAAGAATGTTGTCTATACAAGAGATGAGTGGGAGGGGTGCTAATAAGAGGTGAGATGCAAAAGGGTCTGGTCAGTGATTATGGGGTACCAGGCTACAAGCTGACCATCTCCATCCCTTTATGTCCCAACTTCCCGCCCTCATCCCAAACCGGTCACAGCAGATGGCCCCGCCCCTCCCTGAGCCTGGTTCTTCCAGAGGTTTCTTCCTGTTAAAAGGGAGTTTTTCCTTTCCCCTGCCACCAAGAGCTTTCTCCCAGGGGCTCGTCTGATTGTTGGGTTTTCTCTGTATTATTGTAGGGTCTCTACTTTACAATATAAAGCGCTTTGAGATGACTGTTGTTGTGATTTGGCTTTATATCAGTTGAATCAATTGCAATTGAATCAAATCTATTGATGGCTGCTTCCAGCAGGATAACGTGCCATGTCACCAATCTCATTAATCACAAACTGCTTTCTTGAACAACACAGTGAGTTTGTACTCAAATGGCCTCCACAGTCACCAGATCTCAGACCAGTAGAGCCCCTTTAAAATGTGGCAGAACAGGAGATTCACATCATGGATGTGGAGCCAAGAAATCTGCAGCCACTGTGTGATGCCATCATGTTAATGCACCCTACTGAATCTTTACTGTAAATACTTGTCTTTACTGAGTGCACCTGTGCTATAGCTGTGCAGTGGTAGATTTTAATCCTGAAGAAGCTGCATAAAAAAAAAAAATTACAGCTTGGAAACAACAGAAATGTCACCTGTAGCACAGAGTTACAGCCACTATCCACATCCACCTAGTCTAGCATGACTTCCAGGTAGGAATAAGAGTTTTCTGAGGCTTCTACTCCTTTCTGAAAATTAACAGCAAAGTTCACAATGCCCACTTTGGGAATATGATTCACAAATAAAGCCTGCTGCAGTCTCCTCCTACTCCGCAGCGACAGCCGAACAGCATATTTCTATCATTCACCACCGTTTCACCCTGCGTTATAAAAGGTGTAGGAGTTTCTCTGCACAGCAGGCTGATGCTTTAGAAGAGGCAGGACAGCTGAAGCGAGGTGAACCTGGGTCAGCGGCAATATTGAAAGGGACTCGTGCACTTTGTTCCTCAGAGATGTTTAACCGAAGAGTGTCTGGTACAGTGGAGTTAAATGATGGTGGTGCAGACACTACTGAAGAAGCAGGAACATTAGTTTGCAGCAGACTAAACACATAGGTTTCCCTATCTCTCACACACACACACACACGGGTACGCCTATAAATCATCTGAAGTGTTGGGCATGACTGGCCTGCACGCCTTTCATTTAAAGCAGCTGCAGAAATAAACGTGCCGTAATTATTAAAGGTGGACCGAGACGCATGGTAATGGACTTGTGTTGAGATTGGCACCCGGATGGATTTATGACTTCACTGAAAAGGCAACTGACAGCATGAAGTCTTTATGCGCTCTGAATTTAGGTGATAAAGTAACCAAACACACAGACTCGTGTGAGGATTAAAGCCTTCAAATCTGGTGCAAATTAATAAAGTTAATAAACTAAGAAACTCAGACCTGCACAAAGACCATCTGAGCTGCTTTTTCAGGTCAAGTGTTTAACCTCTGAGTAAACACCCAGAGCAGCCCTCCCTCTGCTGGACAGACAGATTAGACCCTTTATTTTGATTTTCCAGGGAAAACCAAATCAACTCGGTTTTTCAGTTAAGAGACTGAAGAGAGAAGAGAAATCACGATAGCTGCGTCTCTTACCATCAAAGGAACATCGACAGATGTTTATTAACAAGCTGTGTCATAAACAGAGAAAATTATTTTAGGATTTTTGCCGTTTTCAACATATTCGTCGTCTTTTGAAATTCTTGTTTCTTTGACACTTGTTTTTTGTAAAAATAAATAAATAAATAAGCGAAATCCAGCATTTGAAAATCAGAAAATTAGCATGTGTGATTATTTTTGTCATTGACTGGCACCCGCATTCAGCGTGAAGTACAAAGCAGCTGCAAATAAGCTGAAATTATACATCAGAAGATAAACGAGTCAAAGCCTCAGGGCCTCAGCTCTCCAAAATCAGTTTTAGACCCCCTTCATTATCTTGTAATCAAGCTGTCTCAAATCACAGATTATCCTCTTTACAGGAAGCAAAGTATAATAGGCCAAAGCAAAGACAGCGTCACGATAACGAGCGTACAACAGCCGAGAGGAGCGTCTCTGTCGTGCTCTTTAAGAGTCCCTGAGAAAGAAGAAAAGTCCTTTGGGCTTGAAGTATTGTTGTTATTTATTACATTTGTCTGTTTAAACTTTTTAAGGACATCTTCAATCACTTTATAGGTCCCTTACTAGTACTGGTTTGGACCTGCTTCCGTTTCTGAGCTGCTGCAATTCGTCATGGCAGAGATTTGACAAGGTGCTGGAAACATCCCTCTCAGGTTTTGATCGATGTTGACATGATAGCTTCACACAGTTGCTGTAAAGGAGAATCTCCTGTTCATTTGAAATCACCGTAATGTTATGGGGTGGTGTGTTATCCAGCCAGAAGGAGCCATGGGACACGCGGTCTTAACAGCTGGACGTGTTTAGCAACAACACTGAGGAAGGATGTAGGATTTAAACGATTCTCAGCTGGTACTCAGAAGCCCAGTGTGCTAAAACTACTTGTTGTTCCTAGAGTATTTAAAAGTAGAATGGGAGGGAGAGCCTTCAGTTTTCAGGCCCCTCTTCTGTGGAACCAGCTTCCAGTTTGGATTCAGGAGACAGACACTATCTCTACTTTCAAGATTAGGCTTCAAACTTTCCTTTTTGCTAAAGCATATAGTTAGGGCTGGATCAGGTGACCCTGAATCCTCCCTTAGTTATGCTGCAATAGACGTAGGCTGCCGGGGATTCCCATGATGCATTGAGTGTTTCCTTTCCAGTCACCTTTCTCACTCACTATGTGTTAACAGACCTCTCTGCATTGAATCATATCTTTTATTAACCTCTGTCTCTCTTCCACAGCATGTCTTTATCCTGTCTTCCTTCTCTCACCCCAACCGGTTGCAGCAGTTGGCCCCGCCCCTCCCTAAGCCTGGTTCTGCCGGAGGTTTCTTCCTGTTAAAAGGGAGTTTTTCCTTCCCACTGTCGCCAAAGTGCTGCTCATAGGGGTCATATGATTGTTGGGTTTTTCTCTGTATCTATGAAGCGCCTTGAGGCGACTTTTGTTGTGATTTGGCGCTATATAAATAAAATTGAATTGAATTAAAAAAAAAAAAATACCCCACAGTACTAACACCACGAGCAGGGGCCTGAACTGACGACACGAGTAGGATGGATCAGTGCTTTTCATGACCCTACCATATGAATATTGTGTAAATGGTAGCCTCACTCTCCTCTTGTTAGCCGACAGGAGCGGCATCTGGTGTGGTCTTCTGCTGCTTAAGCCCATCGGCTTCACAGTTTAACCATATTGCGTTCAGAGATGCTCTTCTGCATATCTTAAATGTAAGAAGTGGCTATTGAGATTGCTGTTGCCTTTCTAGAGCCATCTACTACCACTGACTGGATACTTTTTCAGACCGTCCCCTGTAAAACCCCAGAGATGGTTGTGCAGAAAAATCCCAGCAGATCAGCAGTTTCTGACACACTTGGACCAGCCCCCCCGTCACCAACAACCGTGAGTGGAATTTAGGATTGTTGTCTAGTTTGATTTTAAAAGGAAAGTTTTTTCTTTCTTCATGAGCAGGCTGTGAGTTAAGAAAACCTCTCTGTCGTACAATAACCTGTTAACAGTGTCAAACGGCTGTTTGATGATTTTAATGAAGTCAAATGAAGAACTCAAAGTAAAAGAACCAACACTGAGCTGAATCCTCAAGTCTGTATGTATTGAAATCCTTCCATATTACAGGTATAACGTACAGTACATGTATATTGGTGTACAGACAGGCAATTTAAAAAAGGGGGCTAAAATTATTGAACGATACAAAGAACAGCATATACAAAAGCTTATTTAATGATTCAAGTACCTTTAACTTTATACTTCAGTCCTCTGGAGAATTCAAAAGCATCTGTACAAAATGTACAAGAATTGTATCCCAAGTTTCATCAGCCCCAGGTTTCCTCTGCGATTAACATCTGACTGTATGTCGTGTAACTTTCAAAGTGAAGTGCAGGAGAAGCGAGGAACACAGAAACTCACAGTACAAAACTTCCATCAGTGAAGTTGCAGAAGTCGAATTTGAAGATTTCACTGAACTCACCCGGAGGCGTCTAAACTGGATCCATCGGGTTAATGTCTCAGCTCAACACACGAGAGGACGGAAACAACAAATGTCTCACAGCAGGTGCATTACTCACTAACACATCCGGTTACTCTGCATCGCTCTGAGTTTACAGGTCTGTCATTTTCAAAACATTCCCAAAAACCTGCTAACAAATTTCATTGAAGGGTCGGTGTAGTTTGCTCCTAATTAGCTATGAGAGACTGTGTGCACCATTTACATGTCTGAGTAAACCTCGGCCTCTGTGCTTCAGCGACAGCCGTTCAGTGGATCTATATTTAATCTCGTCTTCTGTATAGTTAGAGGCAGGAAACAGCACAGTGCTGAATTCAGCTGGTCTGAACACGCACACAGCAGATTAATTGGACAGAAAAGCACTGATATTGCTTATAGATTCATCCATGAAATAAGAAGATGCTCATTTTCAGAATTTTTAGTTTTCTGCTGCTTTTTAGTTACGCTGTCAGGGGCAAATGTGTACTTCCCAATGAGTTGCCGAGCGGTTTCTGGCAGTTGTGAGTTGAAATTGACCACAAATGCGTATTATATAAAGTTGCTTTGGTTGCTAGCGGATTGCCACAGTTGTGGAAGTCTGCACAGCAGATGCTAAGTACTTTTGAAGTGGTAGTAAATCTTGAAAAAAGTCTGACCAAAATAATGAAACGATGATAAGTCAGTGGTAAGGCACAACTTCCATATCTAGTTTGTGTCGCACTTTTTCGAGCTTCACTAAAACTCAGCGGTGTTTGCGGATGACTGTACACCGCCCATGCAAACTATAGGCGACAACTGCAATCTACTAGCAACCAAAGCAACTGCAAGGAGCTATCTGATGCCTTTGCGACCGCCAACAGCGACTCATCAGCCGGTCAGAGAACTCACATTTTTCAGTAACGACCAAACCGAACAGCAACCTTGCACAGAGGAAAAAACAAAGCCAACAGTTGTGCGTTGATTGCACTGAATTTTTTGGTGTCAAAGACCAAGCGTGCAATACCCTCAACCTTTAGGTGACCACGTGGGAGGGAGCGTGTCTCCAAAGAAAGCCGGGACACGGACTGACTGCATTCGCTCTCAGACAGATTGCTGAGAGTTTGCAGATAACTGTTGATACAGTCAGTCTGCAGCGGTGAGGGCGACTCATTTGTGATGCACATCTTTACAATAGGAAACTTGACTCACCTGGTCTAAACCGGTTGTACCGTGGTTATATTCCTACATCAAAGCAAGGCTGATGAGCACCTGCGTCATTTTGCAGTTAAATTGCCGTCCTGCAGCAACTACATCGTTATTTATGGAAGAATTACTGCTTCAAATTTAAGCGATTTCATGCAACTGCCAACGTGACCTCATTCAATCACAAACTGATATCAGACTGACTCCAGCATCTTCTTCCCGTCCTCAAAGCTACACCTATTTCAAAGGCAACAAGTTTATTGCACAGTCGCAGCAACGTTTTTGGTACAGCCACTGTATTTTGTGTGACTGCAGCATTAGATACGTTACAGACAACTGCTAAGCTATAAAACACATTTTACCGCGCGCTGCTGTCGTCTTATTAAAGGGCTTGTATAACGATCGATAGCCGACTGGTTTACAACAGCAGGAGGATGTTTTGTTTTTCTGACGAGCTGCTGTGAATGTCGAGCCACTCGACTATGGCAGGATTGACCAGCATTAACTGTTTTCTTTTAGTTTTTCATGGATCTACTCTGGGAAAATGCCATTATGATAAAAACAGCGTTACACTGTCACACCGACAAACACCTGGAACATTATTGACCCATAAAATAAAGCGTTGCCTGTATCTACACAGTGAAATCATCCCAATAATGACCGATGGTTTTTCAAACCACTGCAGGTACTTGTGAGAAATTACATTTCTAAAAAAGAAAAGCATTTAAAAATCAAGTCAAATCAACTATTTAACCTTACATGTGAATTCATTCTGGGTTTGCTGCTGTCAGAGATCACTGTACACTTCAAAGCCACCATCCAAACTGGTAGACGTCTGTGGTGATTTAACATAAAAGCATACGGACACTTATACACTTACTGATGATTCTCTAAAGAAAAACTTACATTAAAAAAAATGCTGCAGCTCATTAAAAGAGTCCCAATGAAAAGCAGAAGCAGTTAACAAAAAGCATGAAACAGAGCCTTTAAAAGTCTGCCGTGGGCTTACTTCTCTGTGCAGCTCTGATGCACCACAACTTTAACTTTATTAAAAAAAAACAATAAGTGTCCTTCACCGTCACAAAGTGTGACAGCAAACATTTAACTCAGTCAAAGTAAGCGACAGCCTTGACGGCATCTTTACATTCAGTCTGAGTGTAATTATCATTGGATTTAAGACTATGTGAATCCTTCCAAAGGCGTTAACACTGTACCATTTACTTACTGTTATACATCCTATTAACATGCACAGTTTAAAAATAAAAAAAATCCACTGTTGAAGCTCCCCTTCAATTGAACGAAGCACTCGCCTTGGTGAAAACGAACTGATGAAAGGGAGCTTTGGCTACATTAGATACGGTCGCTGGCTTTGATGGGCCGTTTCTGAATGAGTGTGAATGCGAAGTGGACATCATTCCAACTTTTGTTTTTGTGAAAACAGCCCTTCTGACCGCGGGTGGACGGCGCTCTGCAGCGTCACGGCCGCTGCGAGTCGTACTGCTAGTAGCGGTTCAGCTTGTCTGGGTCATTGGAGGCCATGTGGGTGAAATCCTGGAAAATGTCCTGGTACGTTTCATCTCCTGTAAAAACACGGGGGAGAAAAGATGTGAGTAACAAAACTTTTTTTATTTTCTTAGGAAACAGTGTAAGACCATAGACTGTATATCAAAGATGGACATTTTGACCTTTAAAAAAACAAAAACAAAAACTAGATAAACAAACAAAAGGATTATAATTTACAAAAATACATCATTTTGTAATTAATAAGATTTAAAACTAGCGACTGGTCACTTCTGTACAGTAGTATTTTTTGCAACCAGAAGGGTCGCCCCCTGCTGGTCATTAGAAAGAATGTCGGTTTAAGGTACTTCCACAAAGCAGTGAATTTATGCTTCAGAGTTAAATCTGCACCGCCTTAAGATACGGCTGTGAAGTAATGAATCCTTCTTTGAAGACCACTTTAAGTCCACTCCCTGGGGGGGCGCACGTGCAGCTGGTGCACTGTAAAGTCCCCGTTGGTGAGTCTGTGTGGTCACAAAAAACAGAAACGTGGCATCCCCACAGACCCTTGCGGTCCAATCTATATCGCTCAACGTCTGTGTTAAATCTAGCCGTCAGTAACCTGAAGAAATGCATCTGTACATCGTGTTAAAGCAGCTGCAACGATATTTATTGGCCTGTTCAGTACAGTAAATTCCTTCTGTGCATTTGCTTCCACTTTTTCCACCAGAGTTTCTTTTTTTTTTTTTTTTTTTCATCAGTGAGAGAAAAACAATTGCCTCAATATAACTCGCAGATTTCAGTAAATCCCTGGAGGGAGACTCAGAAACTATTGCAATGTGAATGAGGAACAAAAAGTCAAAAACGTAAGGAACAAATATGTTTGCCAGGATTTTATTTGTTTCTATTGTAGCTGGCACCGTATCTAAAAACACAGAGTTACTGTAAAGTAATCACAACATAATCCCCGAGCACAGGTCTGAATACTGGCAATCATGCCGGCCACTTGGTAGGCTTTACAACGATTCACCAAAGTCGTCTAAATCAACCACGAAACCCTACGCTGTAACCTGACGTGCCTCTCCCTAGAAATGCACTGTGATTGGCCCGTTTAGTACCATCCTTCCCTCCTATTCACATCCAGCTATTTCTTCTGTCGTTGTATCGCAAATCAAATGAAAGAGAAACGATCAATTCAGCAAGAGAATCTTAATTGCCAACGTAGTGGCAACAATGTTACCCCGAACACAGGTGCCACTTAAGTGGTTTTTGTAATTTCCACGTTTGCAGTTCCACTTTCAGCCTCATCATCGGACAGTTATCGCAAAGGTACAGCCAGACGTCTGCGAGCCTGCCTGTTTTTGTGACTCCAGCTGCACAGACTCTACATAGGACTCAGACAGAATTATGGAAATTATGTACATCTTTTATATACAGTCTATGACAAAAACACTTCATTGTAGATACGTTTAAGAAGGAAAAAAAACTGTTTACTGGACTGCTCATAACTTATGTTCACTACAAACTAAAGTATTGACGGAGCTGCATGAAATAATAAATCCTCCATCTCGTATCTTCTGCTGTAGCACAAATGTTTTGTTTCCTGCGTAGAGGCAGGTGTTTAAACAATGTTCACAAATAGCTGAACTTTTCCCCATATTCCCCTTCATATTCTGCCAAAGTCTTCAAGTTGTCAAGACTACAGTGATCATAAACCCCAATGCCCTCATTGTGCAGATGTAAAGCAGGTAAAACATGCACAGAGTTTCATGCAAAGTGGGGAGGGGGCTCATGCAGCGACAGTGTCATCAGTGTCAACAAGAGTGAAAAAGAAAAAAATAATTAGCCATACCTGTTAAGAGTGCTGGCGTGGTTGCGAAATATGAAACAGAACAATGTAGAGGGGAGAAAAGAGGCGAAGGACAGAAGAAGCAAAAGGCAAATGTTTGAGGAAACAGTCAGCGAGGCCCTCGTTAGCAACGGGACACGGACTCGGAGAGAAAAGACAGCCCACAGACAGCAAGTTTGTTTCATCAACAACTGTATTGTGTTTAAAGTGCAGGAGTTTATGTACAAAAATACAGTTGTGTTGGCCTCAGCACCCCAAAGAAAGAGAGAAAAGAAGAAAGGCACAAACTCTGGGGAGGAGAGTGAGAAAAGCAAAATACAAAAAGTGACAGAACAGATTTACATAAAAGAGAACGTGAGAGTGTGTTAGGAGGAAGAGAAGAAAATTCCACCTTAATCAGATCAGTGGTTCTCAGTCGGTTTTAAGGGTAAATTTCTTGTTTTGGGGGGTTTTAAGAACACGACATGATGTTGTAAAAGAATAGTATTTAAAAACATCGTAAAATTATTTTTAAAAAATCATTTAAATGCCAAGAAATATTAAACCGAGAACCACGGCTCTGCACTTCAAACACTCGAGTCAAGAGAACTTCTTTTAAAGAGAAAAGAAAAGGAACAGCGGACTGATGAGGTCACCTCTCCCTCACATTCATTAACCCTGAATATCCCTCATCACTCTCAGCACTCATCAGCTGATTGGAGGGTGCTGATGAAGAGGCGCTGGAGTACCAAACATGTTTTTAAATCTCCTTTTCTGCTCAACACAAACATCCTCTTACAATCACTGCTAACAAACCTGCTGCTGACCTGTTCGGCATCAGCAGCAGTTTCTAAATCAGTCTCTATCAATAACCATTAAATAAACAACAACAAGACAAAAGAACTTCTAGTTATTTGTTGTAAGGTCCAAACAGCTACTAACAGTGCATCTTCCTCCAGCTGTGCATTTCGCCCTTAGTGTAAACGCTCCGTTCTTCGAGAAGAAATGAGCTCAGCCCTCCTCTTCCTGTGTGTCAGCACACACAAATGAATAAATCCTTTTGCTCCACAATCGCACACAAACATTTCATAGAGAACTACTAAACACCAGATCTCTAACATCCAGGGACATCCACACAAATCAGCGATTAGAAACGTTGCATTGACGCTCTGCCTGCAGCAGGGGGCGCTGCTCTTTCAGTGACCGTTTCATCAAAGTGCTTTGGCGCCCTCCGAGCAGTCGGGGCAACATGAGAGAGACGATGTGGGATGAAACTGGGGTACAGTTCAATCGTTCATTGCCTGTCAGCAAACCTCACCCTCCTCTCCGTCTACATTCATTTTGAAAACCTAGATTGTTTTACAGTTTCTTTGCTTGTTTTTTTTTTAAATAATAAAGCTCCCATAATGATTAACGTGAATATAAGCCAGGACAAGCAGGCGATCAAAAGCTATACATGGTTACATGTGGATACGTTTCTAGACTATTGCACTATTGCTGCTTGAAATGTACCACCTTCAAATCCACTAACATTCAGGACGATTAGTGCAAGGGCTCTAAAAGTCCTTTTGTCTTACAATTCTGGATTTCCCATGATTATGGGCAATGAGCAAGCACACTACAACCAAGACACTCAAAAGAAAAGTATGCGAACACAAGAGTCCTCATGGCACTTACTGCTGTGCAACCAGAGTCACTCTAAAAACATCATTTACAGCATGTACAGTAAGAATACCTAGACTTACTAGAGTCATCTCTATAAAAGAAAACTGCTCTAAAAACATCTGTCATGTAACACCAGAAAGATGCGTCATTAAATAAGTAAACAGGACTTGACAAGCAGTTAAGACTTCAAATAAGAACCATACAGTCATGGGAAAAGGTACAGCAGTTGCATAACCATTAACAGGAAGGTGCATAAATGACTTCTGAAAGGTCAGTTGGAAAGGAAAAAAGATTACAGACACGCCTCTCACGACGATTTTAAAAAGCATCATTCAAAAAGTCTTGATTATTGCCAGATACTGTAGTAGAAACTGCCCTCCCTCTGAGGTCTGAGTGTCACTGGATACTGGTGGCAGTTACTGGGCAGATTTATTTATTTTTTTATTTATATATATATATATACTTTTTTTTTTTGCAAAGATACTGTGACTGCTGGCAGAAACACAACAGGAATTTAAAAATAACAATTACTTTAATCAAAACAAAACAAAAACCTACCTTCTAATCACCTCTAAAACCGAGGAAAAATATTTTTGTGCTATCAGTAACTTGACATGAGTAACAGTCACTTAAATGGAAAAGGTGGATGTTCCAGTTTGGAACAAAAACTAATACTGCCCAGAGTCGATGGCTTTAACCCTGCCGCTGAGGGACAAGGTGCAGAGCTGGTGGAGCACCTGGCAGGAAGTTGTAACAGCAAGACACACGAGCACAGCTGGCAGAGTTAGGCTCAGCTCACTTAAAGGCCAGTGGATTAAATTCCTCTCAATAAAGAAATCGCCCAAATTTTTAACAATACCCCTGAGAATGGATGATTGGGGGTGGTGCTCTTTTAAGTCAGCTGACCCCAACTCCGACACTTTATGTTTCCTAGGCGTCGTTGGCTCAACACGCAGCGGCTGGTTATTCAGATTCATCCAGCTGCAAACTAATAAACTCCTGCATGCACTTCCTGTACTGCATCTCGGTGGGGCTGTTGGAGTTATATTGACCTGACTGGCTGTAGGGCCCCTCCGCCTCCCGCATCTCCTCGTTCATCTTGGCTAGTCGCAACCTGGGGAGCGAATAAAGAAACAGGGAATTAAAGGTAACAGCACATCTCAATCCACTCTGTAATCTAAGATTAGTACCACGACACTCACAGGGTGACAATGTCTGCGTTGGCCGCCTCCACCGCTATGGACAGCGGTGTTTTCTCCTCAATGTCTGTAGCGTTTTGATTCGCTCCTCGTTTCAAGAATAAACACACTTGCCTGCAACGGAAATGCAAGTTGTTTTTTTTTGAGTGTAAAACATAATCCGCGTTGCATTTGTAGTAATAAAGGTGGGGAGAAGTGGAAACAAACCCCGTGTGTCCCAGCATGGTGGCATGATGGAGGGGTCCTCGGCCCTGAGCGTCCTGTTGGTTCACATTCGCTGCATTTTGGAGCAGAAACTCACAGGTGACCAGAGACCCCTGAAATTTACAGGTGTTTATAATGACACATGCCTTTCTTTCAAGAAGCACAACACATTAGGTCTAGATTTGTTTTAATTCACACACTATGCTTTTAACAGGTAAACATGGAGGAGTATAGATATTAGTATCTGCAAATGTCTCAAACCCAAACTAAAGGAAAGTTGGATTAAACTAAACAGGTGTGATATCGTTTCCATGAAGTCAAATGCTCGAGTAAATAAGAACGTCTCTGTAATTTTTAGATAATACTGGCGTTCATCACTGCTACCCTGCAGGCTCCTAGTCGATGCATGTATGGCATTAATATCCAATTTCTAGGTGACTTCCTTCTTGAGTTATCGTACAAGATATTCATAAAGCTTGACCTTAAGATCGATGTTCAGTGAGATTCTAACTCCTCACAGATTATTAAGTAGATATTTAGTAAATTGCAACCCCCAATCCCGCCCACTCTGCAGGCAGAGGAGCCTTTTACGACCGAGAGGAAAAAGCTACGAGTTTATTATTTGGCTGAAACTTGACGCAGACATCGAAGACAGGCAACACTTTATTTCATCCACCTGTGTGACATAAAACTGGTGAAAAGGTTTTAAATCTGCCGACCACTGAGTTTAGCGATGTATCGTACCAAGCTGAATTACTGTAGCCATACTGACCCCCTGCACTGCCATGATCAGCGGGGTCCTCTTTTCCTCCTCCGTATTGACCCAGTTGACCTCGGCTCCGTGGGCTAGCGCCTCTGCCATGTCCGGCAGGCTGCGGGCGCAGGACGCCCAGTAGAGCTGAAGACCCGGGCTGTACTCCTTGGGTTCATAGAAAACCATCTCCTTACAGGGTGACGGAGGAGGCAGTGTGGCGGGCATGGGCATGGGTGGAGTCTCAGCGGGTTCTGAAAATGAGAAGATGGGTGTGAGCGAAGTCAAAGAAATTTTCCTTCTAACTGAAAAATACTATACCTTCTACAACACGCCTTACAACACAAAGCATGTATGATTGCATAATGCCCTATTTCTCTCTCAGAATCTCAGCGTCTCAGCACAGAAGAAAGCAGAGGTGAGTGCGTCTTACCTGCATCTGCCAGGCTGTCATTGGAGGGGGTGGTGGCCAGCATCTCCCTGCTCCCATCAGCACTGTTCTGGATGCCGCTGTCTGCACTTTTTACTGTAAAACAGAGTCTGAGTCACTGCTTGTAGAAGAACGTGAAGATATTTGCTGAGCGTATGAAATAAAAGGAGCACTCTGCTACTGCTGCTTGTTTCTGGCAGTGGAAAGTAACTCTTATCAGAGCTTGTTTGTAGCCAATCAATGTGTTCGGCCTCTCAAACTTATTTCAGCCTGATTAACAGAAACAGCAGGTGTTCCTAATATTTTTTACTCAAGGTGCCGACAGTGTGGGAAGAGAAAGAGAACCGGATGACAGATCCCCGCCTTCACCTTAAATTCCAGGTCCCTAAAAACCAAAAATATGACACAGATATATGCGAAAATACCAACACACTAAACAAAACCATGTGTGAGAAACACTCCCCACCCCTCAGTCCAAAAGAAAAAATGCAATACGGAAAACGTGACTGGATGGCTCATTAGCACGGTCCGTATGAAGAAGGAAATGAGGAGGATGAAGAGTTGTTAGTCCTCAGCCCAACGCCGTGACTTCAAATGGACACAGGGGATGGAAAGCAAGCGAAACACTAAGCATTCAGTACTTACTGCTCCTGAGCTTGGAGGAGGTGTCAAAGTAGGAGAAGAGCGAGTCAAGCTCGTCAGGACAGAAGAGAGAGTCCCGGCGGGCCTCGGCACCACTGGCAGCAGCTACGCAAGGGATGATGGGAGTTTGGAGAGCGAAGGGTGTAAATTGAGTGGCAGGGTGGGGTTATAGGGAGAGGCAGTCAGGGCAGGGGTTAGTTCGGAAGCACAGAACAGCCAGAGGGGGAGGAAAGGACAGAGAGATTTAGGGAAAGGGGAAAAGCAGGGTGGAAGCACAGACAGTTAGACTACTGGCTCGGCTGACGCTGGAAGAGACAGACTCTACGGAAAGCAATGGGAGGCAAAGAGAGCCGAGACATACGCTATTCACAAAGAACATGCAGTATGCCGATGGGTGGACACTTCTTCATGGTAGGAAGCGTCGCACGAGCAAATCCTTCTTCGTGTGATGTATTTATTTAGTTTGTTTGTTTTTACTGGAGAAAGTTCTGATTCTGAGGGAGAAACAACCAAACTCTGAAATCAGATTAATTAATTTTGTTTGGGTGCTATAAAAAGAAACAAATTAAAAGATAAAGATACATTTAAATGAAAAAGAAAACAACAACATGTTAAAAAAAAAAAAAAAGTATAAAAAAATATTACAAAATATGTTTTGGAGGCAATGATCCACTAACAGTTCGAATCCCGAGGCTTGCAGCGAAGCTAACTGTCGGTTTAAAGCTGTGTTTCTCATTTGATATATTGATATTACTGACCTGACTGCCCTGAAGCATTCGAACCAGGTCGAAGTTTTGGTGTGGGTGGAGGCGCTTTTGGTGGCATGTGCTCAGAGTTGCCGCTCAGCCTCTTCTCCTGTTTGCTCAGAGAGACCACTTTGCTGCGAAGCTCCTCGTCTGACGGCCGGCGTACAAATCGACGATCCACATACTTGGCTTTGATGTAGGCCTCGACCTCGTGCCTGTGAGCGAACCAGAAAAACATTTCATTTATGAATGAAGTGAAAATGAAAGTTGGCCGTCAGTGAGTCATAAGTACAATTTACTAGGAAACAAAATAGGTTACAAAAGCAATTTTTTGGTCTGAAATTACAAGCATGCTCTCTTGTAACTCGGTACCTCGGATCTCCCGGCTGTGGTTTTCTTGCTCCAAGCTCCTCTCGCCGAGCTTCATAGATCTGGTTGATTACTTTGTTGCCCAGTTCACACATTAACTGGAAAACATGTAGATTAACATCAGTGGACTAATGTTACTCCAGCCATATGTTACTCTTCCTGATCCTTAATGGATTTTATTAAAAGGCAGAGTGATAACAAAATAAAAACTGTGTGTGTAACCAAGGCAGACCATTCATGTGCATTTATTTGTAAACCTTCTTCTTACTCACCTTTAGCAGTTCTGGTTCCCAAGTGTCCAAAGTCAAAGAACGAACCTTGGAGAAATGCACTCCCAGACTCCTGTAGGTGGCAGAAGCAGGAAAAAAAGCAAGACAGTGTCAGCTCTGTGTACTTTAAATTGTGAAAGCGATAAAATGTTTTTGTTTTAGCTTTGTGGTGAAAACTGTGGTCTCACATGTTCACTCACAAAAACCCATGCACAGTATGGAGAGAACAGATTTACAGACAACACAGTCCCACTGTCTGTGAAATATACAAATGCACGTAGTGGGAAAGGAAAAAATTGTTTTTGATGTGTCCTCTAACAATCTTACTAAATTCACACAAATCAGGAAAATTGCAAAAAGGCCCAGTGTATTTTTGGGTTGGTATCCTTGATGATCAATGCTGTACCGTGAAAGCGTGGGAAGCGACCTGACGCTTTTTATCTATATTAAACTTTAATTACATTTACCCAGGAAAATAATTAAAGGTTATCACAACATCTCAGTTCACACACCAGTGAGTTTACAGTTCAGAAACCCCTGAAGACATCTGTGATCCCGACGGAGGATTTTATATACTGGAGCCAACATACTTTGCATAACTTCTAGTTTTCACAGACCTAACATGAACTCTTAATGAACTGCATTCCTGCAGTGTGGTAGACAAATAAATAAAATGTTCCAGAAATGTCCAGGTTTTCTTCTTTTTTAACTTCTTTAAATTTTCTAAGCAATTAAAAGTTGGTTACTTAAGAATTTGATATTTTCCTTTAATCCTTTGTTATGTTTTGCTTCATCTTTATGTAAGAAGTTGCTCACAGCAATAATCAAAGAGCTGTTATAAGGATTTGCTGATGAAAATATAGCATTGTACCTGTGGATGCCAGAGCACTGTATACACAGGGTGATGCCCAGGTTGATGCTGGCCCAGCGGGGCTCCGGCTGCCCACAGTCGCAGCAGCAAACATTGCCTGGGATGGCCAGGACTTTCTGCAGGGCACTCTCTCCTTTCAGTGATCTCTCCTTTGGCTCCCCTCCAGAGTCCAGGCTCCCTGTTGATGTGGACGACTTCCTATCCAGCTTCTGACAGGAAAGAAACGGGGAAGGCGCACAGACAAAAATAAAGGACAAAGCAGACGTATTAAAATGAGTAAATAAAAATTGATCTTCAGGGGAAAAAATGCAAGAAGCAAACAGTCAATGAAAAACTCTGTTATTTGCATAAATCTACACAAATAAGTGTTGCAAAATTAATAGAAATCCTGCCACATTAGTTTTGAGTCAAAAGACTTTGTATCTTGGCTTTCTGGTGTATGTGTGGGTTTTTACCTCACTGTCATCTCCCTTGTCGCGGAAGGCGGTGGCGATGCTGTTCTGGACAGCTTTGATCCAAGCCTGTCGCAGCTTCTCGGAGTCTGCCTGCATCATACAGCTCCTGTGGGGGCAGACAAGAGTCACACAGCTGCTGTCGGCTCAGAGCAGGAGTGTCGGCACCAGAAGGCGGGTAGGCTGGTGCTCCACCTTGCCACCTTTTTAAAAATACTCATGTGCTCATTAAGCTGACAGAGGGCGTAACGTCACTGACTCAAACCTACTTGGTGGGTGACACGACTTCAAAACAGAAGCGACGCTCTATGTCCTCGCAGTGCTTGACTGTGCATAGCCTCAGGTCTTCTACCACCACTGTAGGGTTGTCCTGCAGGCACAGCAGAGGGACTTACATCCAGCAACAGGCGCCCACTTCTTTTACCACAAAGGTTATTGTTCGCAGAACTATATTGTCCAGTTTCCTTAACATTTTTATTAAGTTGGTAGTGACAAGTTCTGTCGCACTAATAATAATTACAGTTGGGGTTATTTTGTTGTAGCATGATGCAAAGCGCAGAGTATGTAACAAAGCCCCAACTGCTCTTGCTCTTTTGACTTTGGTACTATAATCTGGGACAAAACTAAATGTTAGGCCTCTGTGACACAAGCCTCGAGGCCGGTCGGCAAACACCTGGCAACCACAGGCTGCTAAGGACAAATTTGCTGATTGGAGAGTGGTTGCTGGCAGTCACCAGGTGAAAACAGCTGCATGGAGGTATATGGTGCTGCGCTGAAACCTTCCTTGCAATTGCCTTGGTAGCTAGCACACTGACCTGTCTGCACACATGCACCAACTCTTCACTGAGCAGCAGTGAAACTTTGAGACTGTAAGCCTTCAAAATAAAAGTTGTGTCTCACAGCTGCACCCAGCATGTTTACAGAAGCACGACTCTTCCTCGGTTTGCTAAAGCTCAGTGACTAGTTTTTGGTGCAGCACCCTCTTTCTGATCAATTTCATTAGCAACATCCAGCAACCGCTCTCCAACTGGTCATTGAAAAGATTTTTTTCCCTAGCAACCTGTGGTTGCAGACTTGTCTCTAAACCTGTGTGGTTGGAGAGTTTTCATATTCTGACAAGGATAAATGTACATAAAGTAGAGATTCATTTAAAAAAAACAACTAAACTTTTCCAGTATATAAGAGGACTTTATTGTGAGCTCTTTCTATCAAACACACAGAAACCAGGCGCACAGCTGTGCCGTCCAGTTAAAAATACACAGAGAGATGTTTGTGCTGGAAGTCAAACGCGTGCATGACTGTCATGGTGGCCGTGCAGAAAGTCACTTGACATACCTTAAATTTCTTCTGGTAAACCAGCTGATTGTTTTGGATGGTGAACCAGCGCCTGAAAGAAGATCACAAGTTTATTAGAAGATAAAGTCACATGCAAGTGATGCTCCTAAAATAAGACGCTTTGATATCTTCTGATGTGGATGAGAGAGAGTAATCCTAAGGCATGTGAACACAACACACACAAAGACAAACTATGATATTCTGCAAAAGTATATGTTGGTTTGATTCATAACATGTTTATATCCACTTGGGGAAAAAATGGTCAAGAGGAAGCAAAAACTTGAGTCTGTATGTTCTCGATTTCATTTGTGTTGATTTACAGGAATTAAAACACAAAGATGACAAGATGAATGGAAATTCTTCCAAATTATTAACACTTCCTGTGAATCTTAGCTAGCTTTACTCTGCGTCTGTGATTAATAATCATTCTTAAAATGCACTTGAAGCTTTTCCTAGGATATCAAAGTATATAAAACTCTGCAATCAGTCCAAAGGAACCACTTCAAAATAAACTCTATACATTATACCTATTCCATGTCTTGAAGGCATTGCTGGCCCTCTTAAACAGATAACCCTCCATGGCGATGCCGTTGTCTGTATCCACATTGTACTCCAGCTTTGTGTCGTCATTCGAGAAATCCTGAAAAATAATAAGGAAGGAAGAGAGGAAAGCAAACAACTGAATTAAAACAGGAAAAAACACATTAAATCTTCTGATGCTGGTGAGTTCCTCTTGTTTATCTATATCAGGGTTTATCTGTATAAGCTAAGTGAGTGTCACGGCCCCGCTGACCTGACTGACGATTCGCGAACCAGGAAAGACAAACAGCAGCCACAGCGTCTATAATCTATAGCTACCAATGCAATGTAATGTAATGCTTGAGAAAGAAACCTAAGTGAAAAAAAAGTGTGTCGAGATACACCGTATTTGTTAACAATTAACAAAAATCCAGCAACAAGGCAAACCAACATTTGTTATTTAAAATACTGGAGACACGCAGAAGTATACAAAGCAATAAACGTGGTGTTATGAAGCTTTTATTGCATAGCTTCTTACAGCAGTAGTGACGCACTGCTCTTCAACGTGTAACGCAGGAAAAAAAAACAACCTGTCATGCATCCCATCTCTGATTGACTCTCAGTCGTACGTGTTGTCATGTGACTGCCCTCTCAGTCTGGCTTTAACTACCAGAGCAGCTGCCACACTCCTAACACCCTCCCAGCTTTCTCAGCTTCAGGTGACACCGGACACCAGAAGCATGCGCGTGCGTGTGTGTGTGTGTGTGTGTGGACTCATTTTACATCAGGTGTCACCGTCTCCAAAATCAATTACAGCTCGATACATCAAGATCTGTTACTGTGGCGAGCTGGGGACTCATCCTCTCTGTTGTCCTTCTAGAAAGATCCACAGTCTTTTTTGTAACTCAGACTTAACTCATTCAACCTGCATTAGAAAAGCAGTCATCGGCTCTCAAGCTAGTTGAAGCTAGTTGAAGTCTTTCTTATCTGTTTTGATAAGTGTGTGTGTGTGTGTGTGTGTGTGTGTGTGTGTGTGTGTGTGTGTGTGTGTGTGTGTGTGTGTGTGTGTGTGTGTGTGTATATATATATATATATATATATATATATATATATATATATATATATATATATATATATATATATTATATATATATTTATTTATTTATTTATTTATTTATTTATTTATTTTTTTTCTGTACGAGTTGTTAAGCAACTTTAAAATGTTTTTTTTTCCCCTTACATACCTAAATCTGGGTTTGGGGTTGTGACAAAACATTACATTACAAAAATACAGCACAAAGCTACAGCACCATGATAATGCTGGAAAGTGTTGACACAGTGGGTCATTTCAGCAGTTATCAAATGTCACCTGACCATCGCAGATGTGTCAGATGCATTTCCAGAGAAACACTTCTTTATAGGAATTATTTAACATTTCAGTTTCCTAATATCATTAGTTAATTAGTCTCATTAAAAAAACAAAAACAAACAACAAAGGGATGAACGTCGGGGTGCCAAACGTACACAAGTAAATTTATACTGGAGAAAATAAAAGTAAAGACCATGAAAACTTGTGAGTGTAGTAATCTGTTTTTTTTCTAAAAAATACCCATTTTTGCTTCCATATTCCAGCTTTAATAAAATAAAAATAATATAATATAACCCTTTAGTTCACACAGGGTACAATCAGGTGTTTTCTGTTATTTTGTTTTGCTTTGTTTTATTATATTTCCTCTTTTCATTGTCTTAAGCCATTCTAAGCATACACAGGTTCACCTCATTTAGTTGTCATGTAATTAAATAAGTAAAATTGCTATAGCCATTAATATCTGTGAAACCATTTACCTGATTTGGAATGTTTAAAGAATATTATGAATATTATAAAATTATGTAAAGCTATCAACAAAATATCTATGCCTGACCTGCAAGATTGTGGTTTCTACAGGGCTTCAAATCTGCTGTCAGAAACTTCATTCTACATTAACTTTTGGTAAACTCCTGAGAGTCCATATTCATAGATTCACAGTATCAGATATTACTCTAAAATATCTGAAGCACCTAGCTCAAGCAGTTTTCTAAATAAGGGAATTTTGGCTCCTCAAAAAATTGCTGCAGGAAAAACATCTAAAATCTGCTGTTATTCCTTCCTCTGAAACATTTATATGATTAAACTAATGACAGCAGGGACCAGAAAATTAAAAAAAAAAAAAAAATCCTACTAAATCTGATTCATTCCTCTGGATTTTTTTCAAGGAACATCTGGGATTTTCAGGAGCAAACACTGAATGATCCACGAGTCTCTCATGGTAACTTCCTGAATGTACAACCCCTGTTACAGCCCAGAGATGTAGATGTAACCCATGAAAAATATGTCCTATTCCATGTTGTACCGAAAGGATATGCACACATGCACACACACAAACACACTGGCAAGCACAATTTTCCAGCACGACATACACTGGAATGAGTCGAGTTATTTTTGTGCACAAGGGGAACAAAACGTGTCTGCGTTTAGTTTCTGATTAGGGACACAATGGAAAGTCCAGGCATTAATAAATCCCCGTCTTCCTGAAGGTGGGACAAAATTTAAGTCCCATAACTTTTAACAATTATTCTTTAAACTTCAAACACTAGAAACAGCGGCCCCTAATTTCAGCTTGATGTGTGGTGGCCGTCACCCACACATCAAACAAATGCTACAAATGTTACTATTAAAGAATGACAGAGTTTCAGCTGCTGCTGTCACGTGAAAAACTTTCCAGTTCTTGGTTTCAACTACTGGTTGAGAAACCTGACGTGACCACTTCAGCTTGGGAAAGTATCGTCAAACCCATGACATAAACCTAAAAACAGGTAGTGGCTGAAACAAAGCTCATAGGCGCTTGTTCTTAGTTCCTGATTTTAAATATATTATCTAAGAAGTAAAGAAAAAAAAAGTTATGAAAAACCGCAAAACAAAACAAATATGTAGAAAAGAAAAAACCCCGGCATTAAACCAGAAGACTTCAGTGACGCAGACACTGACAATAACGATGACACATCAGAATGAAACGAGCTGCATTAGCAACACTAATGCATGTGCTGCACTTCAGAGTAAGAAAACAGACAGAGATGCAGATAAACACTGTAATGAGGTCCTGCAACGCATGCAGGGGAGGAGATGAAAGGCCGAGAATCGATGCATTGACTCTACGTACAGAGGTCGACCTCCAAGCGCAAAAGTTGCTGTAGTCTGGTAAAAAGTGGAGCTCTGTCACCTCCTAAAACACCACACACAAACACACAGCGAGAGAACGACACACAGAGAGAAGAACATTGCTTTTGCTAATGCTAACACAGAAGAATCGGTCACGGATGTAAGTGTAAGAAGCCACAGACACAAACACATGCTTTACAAGTTCTTATCGGATGCACTCACCAGATACCAAACGTAGTGAAAGCGACTGAAAATCCTCATTTTCCCCAGATTATTGCACACAAATCAATTTGAATGTGTGTTTGCTTACGCGCGTCTCTGTGCAGCATCCCAACAACAGAAGCTACCTGAAGCAGTGTGGCCTGTCTCGTCAACAAACCCTCGCCACCTCCTCTCCTGTGGCTGTGCGTCTATCAAAACCTCCGTCACAGCCTCTGCTGCTCCTCCTTTAAGTGAAGGTCACCAGTGTGTCTGTGTGTGTCTGTGTGTGTGGCTCTTGTGACTGCTGGGTTAGAATAATCAAGTGGACCACGCAGAGGAGTTCGAGCATCAAACATTTATAGTGACTACAGTTTAACACTCAGTGCGCTCAGCTTTTCCCCTCGCTCTTTCATCTCCCTTGGGTGTGTGTAAATAAAGTAGCCAGTCTTTCAGGCAAACTGAATATCTGTAGCATTTGACCCTTTAACATGAACTGCAACCAATAAATAAATAAACGTCTTCTGTAAATGCCGGCTGAGTGTAGGCGTTTCTTGCACAGCTGTTACAACTGCAGTCACTTGTTATTTGCTCACTCTATGAGATAAAACAGACATCTTCAGCCCATCTCAAGCTTTCATGTAGCTACTGAAACATGCACTGAGGTGTCAGTGCTTCGAGTTATGCACACATTAGCAGAAAGGAAGTATCATAAGCACAACCTCAGGACCCCCCTGAGGACTGAAGCCTCCTTCCACACATAATGATGGGAAAGGATTTCAACTGAGATAAAAGGCAGTTACCAGTAGCAACGACTCATTTTCTTTGGCAGACATCAAACACATAATTCAATTCACCAAAAAAAACTATTTTAACTCCTGAGTAAATGTCTGGTTTTAACAAAGTTGGGGAGCAAAAAGTGAAGCGCGGGTGTGAAAGTCAGAACTACTACTCAACTTCTTAATCCCATAGATCTGACTCCTGCAACAGCAGATCAACAAGCGTCAAGTCAGGCCTATATTTGATTTAAGTACAGTGGCCTATCTTATCAGACTAATGTCATGTTAGGGATATTTAATAAAGAAATACCAGCTCTAGAGGTTCTCTAAAGATATAGTGGCTTTTATCAGTGCGCTTTACTTCATACAAGTGTACTACACTCTGCAAATAACAGAACCTTATTCAGGATGACAAAATCATGTGCATGTTGTCAAAAAAAGCTATTTTCACTAAAACGATGTGAGCTGAAGATTACAAAAACGCACAGTGCAGGAAAAATGAAGAGAAACACTGCTTACCTGCAGTGCAGCCTGGAGGGAGTAGAAGAAGAGAAGAGGAGGAAAAAAGAGCAGAAGCACAAGAAAAGAAGAGACAGTTGGTTAGGAGTGTCCACGTACAGCCAGACAAGAGAGCAGGGTGGGAGCCAGACCGCATAAAAATAGCATCTAGATAAATTGAGGGAGGTGAAGTGGGGGATAGGTGCTCAAGGACAGGCGGGAGCTGGCACACGTACCATCAGTGACTGGGTAAAACAGGAAACAAGGATAAATAATGAGACTGAGGGGACAAAAGGAAAGATGGAAAAAAAAGGATGTCAAATGAAAGACGGGGCAGAAGAAGCTTCGCACATGCAGAGACTGAAACGAAGGTCACTGACAGGCAGACAAATGAACAGAAGCCCAGCAAACAACAGCTGGGTAAGGACACAGGCAGTCTGGAGTTAATGATGCTGTGGGATGTTCAATTAAAGTTAAGAGCAAATTTACTGCCACCACATAATGTAATATAACAACCCACATCCTGTCGAGGTTTTTGTCTGCTGTGGGTTTGTACTCTGCTATCGGAAATGCTTTCAAATAACAAGAAAAATACTAGGATTAAAAGCTAAAGAGTTTAAAAATAAAAAAAGATCTCATTTGAGAAGCTTATCTTTACTTTTGCCAAATTAACAAATTATAGGAGAAATATGAAAAGCATGACTCTGGACAGAGACGCCGAAACCAAACCTTGTTTGTTTGGAAATGGGTTTCCGTAAGCTATCAATATTGCACGGGTGTGTGGCTTAGATGCTCCACAGGGATCACCTTACACCTGAGGGTGGAGTCCTACCTCCATTCATTCAAATGATAAACATGTTTCTATAAATAAACCAGCATATTAAAGTTGTTTTGGGAAGAATTCACTTTTTTTAAATTGACTCCAACTCCAATTATAAATCCAATCTAACCATTTTACTGACCAAGATTCGCAGCAGGCCTGTTAGAGCTGTAAAGGGCAAGAGGTAAGTGTAACCGCTCGATCACAGGGCTCTACCTCAAAGTGTTTTGATACATTTCCCCCAAATGTTCATATTTGTACATAAGTTACCCTGAGAATAAGCCTGGACGCCTTCACTTGTCATTCGTGCTTTTCATTCACATTAGTGCAGCTAATTATGGTGTTCTGTGGATTGAAGGTTATTTTCGTGAGCAAGTGCTGCAAACATTTTTGCACAAAATTGAGGGAACAAAATAAATAAATAAATAACACCAGATTTTGAGTGTGTTCGCACCTTTTGTTGGATGGTGGAGTGCTTCTGCTCCATGTCCCTCTTCTCTTTGGCAGCATCCACCACCAGCTGGTCCAACTGCAAGAGACAGAACAACCAGTAAGCCAAGCACACCGAGCCGACCGGTGACAAGCGTTTCATTCAAAATGACAAAACTAAACACTAATTAAGAAAAATATCTATTTATTTCGAGTTAAGGAATGAATGATCCAGTGCCACCACATCTTTAAACTGCACCTAAAAGGTCGCGTGAGCATGCGTGCGTTGATGATGCTAACGCCACTTTCCACGGGCCAGACCGAGAGAAACATGCTTTTTCTCCTCTAACCAAAATGTACTCCTCTGAGGAGAAATTAGACGGGAGATGATTAATTCTCTTTGTCCCTGTGAGCAACCGACACGTGTGGAGAGGAAAACAAAAAATCTTTTGAGCTGTGAAGGAAGAAACATTTTTTTCTTTTTCTTAAAGGCTTCAGTGAAGCTCTGGAGGTCACTGGGTGATGCCGAAAATATGCCAGTTTGCCTTGCAGCACTGAAATTCTGCTCTGTGCGTCTTTATAGTCTGTCGCCGCAACGTGACCTAAATTGGCATCACCAGCCTCAAAAACAAAAGATTCAGTATGTGATTGCAGGGCACCGATTTAAGGGCGAGCGGGGTTCAAAGTTTCATCAAGCAAATTTTGCAGCAATTTTCTGCTTTGTATCAATAAACTAGATGGAAATTCATACATTTGTTTCCTTTCTTAAAGCAGAGTATAATAAACGTGTGGTTTCTTTTACAAAATACACACAAACGTGTTACTATCACACAGTTTCAGAGACGCTTTGAGGGAGCTGCGTGTTTTGTTGTGCTCAGAGAGGAAATGGGTGGATGGCTGAGCAGCAGGCTGATAACACAGATGGGAAATGTTTTCCCTGTTGCCTCTGCAACAACTAGTCTGGTCCGCCTGGAGCTCATGCCATCTATCGAGGCCTGTCTTTATTTTCAAAGATGCTTCTGTGCGTAGCTCTCCTCACATTTTGTGACAGTGACTCATATTGCCTTTAACATCTTATCTTCTCAGGCCGAGACAAACGTTTGTCTCTACTAACATCAGTTCGTCATTTACGGACCACAGCCGTCAGATTAAATCACTCCTGACATGTAGCTGCAATGACAACGTCTGTGATTCATGGAAACGATATGAAACATCTTTCTGAATGAGCATTAAGCTCACGTGTGTTTGATCCTGAGGCTCTGTGTCACGGAAACATGAAGTCAGCAGTACATTTATGTCTAGAAGCAGCATTACGGTTTCAACTAGCGGTGGAAAAGCGGCATGTTTGACACGAATCACTGTGAGCTGTCAACCGAAGCCAACAAAAAGAGAACATCAGCAATATCAATTCAAACTCTAAGTCATGTGATCTTGATTTCACCTCCCTGTGAAGCTACTGTCTACACACCAGCTCACATTTTCAATAAGTATTTAAGTCTTTGGTTTTCATCCTCCTCTGTTGTTCCATTTTTCATTTTTTTAAGTTTCTAAACGTTTCCAGGTATCAACGCCCCCCCGCAGCTGCTTTTACTCCAGCTCAGGGTTTATTCATCTTTCTAATAATTTACTCGCACTCTTGATGACTTTCTCATAGTTTAGAAGCATCGCGTCATATTATCAGACCTGTTGGCAGCTCCTCCACACCTCCCGGCACAGCCTCTCCACCTTCTTCAGCTTCATGATGGAGGTATAATGCACCGTCCACGGCCGCTGCTTTCTTTAGCACGGCCTTTGATCTTCCTCTCCTTCTGGTTTGTGCTGCCCCAAATTCAGCACGACAGGCTTGTAATCCACAGCACAGTTAAGCTCTTACTTGTTCATCCACTTGAAAACAAACCCTCTGTCTCTTTCCCCCCTCCGTCTTCAGGGTCTTTTTCAGTTCTGTCCTTTTTTCCCCTTTTCCTCACACAACACTCTCTTCTCTCTCCGTCGGTCTTTCGAGTCCATGCCTTTCTGTGCTTCTTCAGTCACATTTAGCTTCAAGAAGATTACACTCTGCCTCTTATCCTTTCCTAAAATCTGCTTTTCAAAGAGGTCCAGCCTTCCTTCGCTTCTCTCTCTTCTTTTTTTCTGTCAATGAGAATTTTCCAACTTCAGAACACAAGGGTAAGAAACCACACGCTTCTCTCCAACCCAATTAAGAGCTGCTGAATGGGCTCCTCAGATCTGGCTGTCAAAAAAGTCCCCCAAAAAATCCACACTGCATTTCCTTCTTTCACAGTTTGGCTATACGTTCAACAAGCTCCTCTTTTCGCTACTGCTCTGCCTCTTGTAACTGCACTCCTTTCTCCTTGGTCCTGGTCCTGGTCTGCTGCTTCAGCCTCTGAGCAAACAGCCTATATATTCCACAGCCCTGCTTCTTTCACTCAGCTGACTGTCAACCCTCCGAGTCCAACTGTGGGAAAACCCATTCCAGCTCACAACCTTCTTCCTCATTCCCGCTAAATGTAAAAGCTTCACTGTGATTACAATCTTCAAGTAACATTCAGGCTCAGAGGAAGGGCTTTGTTTATGAGAGGATGCACACAGACACACACGAGGGTGGAAACTGAGTTGACGAAAGTACTGCAGTACACACAAACCCACACATATACACGGACGAGATAGAAACACAAACACAGAGGGAGAAGAGTGGCGACCTCAATTTGCAGCTGAACTTATGGTTGGGCAGATGCCAGCATTTTCGCATTGTCATTACCAGAAATACTAGTTTAAAAATACACACACACACAAGTTAAAATGAAAGGTGACAACAAAGCAGATGAGCATGACAACAATGTGAAGAGATGAGTTTCAGAGTAAAGTGTTGCAACATCTCCAGAGGCTTGGTAATGAACTAATCATTTGATTCAGGTGTGTTGATCTAAAACCTGGAAGACACCGGCCCTCGAGGCCTGGAGTTCCCCACACCTGCTCTAATGGAAAAAGAAAGACAAGCAAACCTGTTTCTTTAAGCACCAGTTTCACTTTAGCCAATTAACGCCAATCATAAAAATGTAAATGCAGGACCGCATGCAGATAAACTGAACAGAAAAAAAAATAATGTAAATATTAGTCTTTCCCTCATAATATAAAGCGTTTACTCTTTACAGTGCACTGTTATGTAAACTTGGAAAGCAATTATTCTGCTGCTCTTCTAAAAATAACATCACGAGTTTACGATATCTTCCAATTAATCAACAGGCGTGGCTGAGCGACGAGCACTGCAGTGGATTCGTTTTATGCAGAGCATCAAACTAGAAAGAATAAAACCAAAATAGCAGCGAGCTGTACGTACGCTGCGCAAGCCGAAGGAACAAAAGGGAACAACGGCAGATAGATATATTTATGTACAAATATGAGCGCCTTTTTAACTGTGGCTGTGTGTTTGGATCCATCAGTGTCTGAAAGTCCTGGAAGATTTTTATATTTGGATACAGGTAACGTAGGAACACACCAACCCTAATTATGGGTGCATGTGTGTGCAGAGTGTAGCCTGTACCTGCCCTCCCAGCTGTTTCATAAGAGGCTGCAGTTCACTGAAGAGGTCATAACCTTGGTGGAAAAACGTCAGATGGGCGTACATGAAGGACAGCATCTATAAAAAAACAACAACAACGTGTTTATTAAAACACTTAAGAGGAAGAAGGGTCTTTCCATCTCCATTCATCAAATTTAAACAGAAAAAAACCCCAAGTGACCATCACAGGTTTGTCTTTCTACTGGAAAAAGCTCATTCTTAATAGGAAGCATGCAAAATTTCCCTACTGTAAAAGGTCCCTTAAAATCCTTTGTCTAAAAACACCCGTGTCACATCCTACAGCGTTCCAGCATCATTTTTTAACTCTCCCTTGAACACCAAGTAGGAGTAATCATGGTTTCTCTTTTCTGAACTGAGCAGTTTCTGTTTCAAGCCTGCTTCAAAACACAACGACTGGCTGTGATTTCTCTCTACAGCTTACCAGGGCTACCCTTGGAAAAACCCGGACTCTATACTAATAGTCATCAAACACCAGCTTTATTGATATATCTCGAGGCGTTAAATCTCATCGTTAAGAGTGCAGGAGAGGTCCTCAAATAATGGAGGGAAAGAGCTAAAGGAGGCATTTTAAATTTTCATTATCTAGAAAACTATCTGAGCTCAGTCCTTCGAAATCATTTAGGCCGAATATCTCATCTTATGGCTCTAAGAACTAAGGACTATAATGAGTTAACACAGGAATATTTGGATGTATTTGTCTGATCTCTGACAGCAGATTAGGAGGCCTGAAAAAACCAAAAGTGTACAGTCAGGGGACTGAGAGTTTATTTAATGATAATGAAGCTTACACATGAAAACACATTTTCATCTGTCTTGCTCCTTTCACTCAGAGCAGGTTTCTGTTAATATTACATGTAACATTTGGGATTTTGATGAGTCATTTTCCCAACATGAATCTTCCTACTTGAATTTTTCCAGGCAAATCTGGTCATGTGGGAGGCAGTTGATGAACTGAGAGTGAACGACCCAGAACAGAAAGCTCATTTCATTTGAGAGAACGAGTAAACTTACTGATTTTAGGATCTCCGACCTTCTCTTGGACTGTAGCACGTTTATCTGAAAGTTCATAAAAACCAAAACAGTGAGAAGTAGGGATTATTATGAGAAAATATCTGGGACAATGCGGTATCTGACAGAAAAATGCAGAGAGAGAGTAAAAAGTGGAGTGGAGATGGGGGGAAAGACTTAAAGAGCGTGAGACAGAACAGAAAATGAGACGAGCTGGTGGAGATGAAACAAAAAGAAGTGCCTGAGAAAAATCAAAGAAAGCTGACAGGCGTGAAATGACTACTACTGAGGCTGGATAAAATCGCACCATCTCCCTCAGCATTAATAGGCAGCGTTTCATTATGCCAGCACCAGGGGGAGCCCTCTGCCTCATGTTTAGGGATGTGGGTTGAAGCCTGTCTCACTTTTCATCTTTGCCTCATCGCCTCCTGTCTCTCCGTCTCCTTCTGTGTGTGAATGTTTGTGAAGAAGGCTCTGCCATTCGTCCAGACTAATTACCGCCGTCCTCATCTGGCCTTGGATTTTCTCATAGCTTAATGCTGCAGAGCAGGGATGTGTTGTGGTGGAAGGCCAGCTTCAGAAGTAATCCCACACTTCGCTTCATACTTCTGAATTAACCTAAGTCCAGCGGCCCCTTTTTGTTTGTGTAGTGAAAACAGGGTCACCATGCTTCAATACCCCGGAGAATAAAAGTAAAGGAAATGTCTTTTATGGTCAGCAGTAATTTCATGGCTGCAGGTTTTAAGGCAATTTTCTCAAGCGACTCTAACCACACTTGTGTTTATACACAGATGTTAACTCCCATCCTGGGGAGGAAGCTTATTTTTTTCCATCCCCAAACCACAACAGTTGACGCATCGCGACTTTTACAAGCCCCCCTCCTTCTTGATTACAGTCAATTAGTAGCTTTGACCAAAGCAGCACCTCTAAACGATGGTTATTTAACTCTCAGTGTGCAATATAGTGTCAACACTACAGCCGCAAGCAAACTATCAGAGCAGTTATTTGGAAATTGGTTTGTAAAGCTGCAGCAATTGCAAACTTGTGGGAATGTAACATTTCAATTTGTCACGTTTGGTTTGTCAAGTTTTTACGCACAAACAACTTTCACTTATCTCTAATAGTGGTGAAAACAATAGAAGTGGTAACATACGGGGGTGGGTTACTGAGCGAGATGCTTTTCCATTTTTCCAGACTAGCAGCACACTTCACCATCAGTGAGCCAGGAAATCCCTGAAGTTTAATATTTTATGCTGCAGCTCTACGTGGCACAGCATAGTAAAAGAGACATGCTTCACTCTTAAAACGCCGTGAATGCGAGTCTGGCTTACAACCTCACTCATATATTTTCCTCTCCCGCTACCATCTTGCATGTCACTATAAACTGCGTACTGTATAATCAAGCACAAATGCCACAAAGATGAAAAAAATAAACTAAAAAGCACAAAAAATAAAATAAAGTCTGTCTCAAATGTTTCCTGCAAGCACCGCTGCAGAAGTTAGTTTTTAAAGTGCTGACAGCACTGTCCAAATGTGAAACTTTAATGGAGACCCATTTAAAAATCAGCTGAGCTAGCTGCTAGCTTATAGATTTCCTATAAGCACACTAAAAAGCGAGATAAAAACCAGACTCGTTTCTCACAGCCAGGACTCTTTTTTTTATGAGATGGTGATTATAGAGTGGGCCACTGGAGCAGACTGCCAAACCTATATTAAAACCTCCAGTTTGGTTTCAATTCACCATCTCATTTGCTCAAGGAGTGAAGGGTGCCCATACAGCATTGTCTGTTCTTTTGGGAGGGAGATTCAATAACAGGGCCGCCAGCTGCCTTATCAGAAACCACAAAGCATTCATCAGCACTGCTGTGGCTGAGAGCAGAGCTGATGCATTCAATGGCACAAAAGCACTGAGTAAGGTTACAGCAGAAAATATCTAAGTGGCTTTGACAGAGAAAATGAGAAAGAAAACGAGCAAAAGGAGACGAACAACATTAATTCAAAAACTGATTTTGGAAACTGAAGAAACTTTTCCGACTAACCAGGTTATTAAACCTCTTTCTGAGTACTTTTTTTGTTCACTTTGGATAAAACAGAATCAAACGCAGCATTCCTGTGCAAAAATAGCATTTTTTAATTAAATGCTGAATAATAAGTTCTCATCCAAATTCTGAACATGACAGCGTGCACCTCAGCTTTTTTGAGATCCATACTTAAAAGCTGAATGTCAGCAATCTGTTGCTATATATAAATATAGTCTGACTGAAAACTGCCTCAGTTTCAAGTCAAAATCTCCCTGAAATAGCACCGCATTTCTTTTTTTAGATCATCCTACGTGTAAGCATAAAACCCTGTTACTGCTATTTAAAATGCACAGTAGGCCACATGTCAGTGCATCCCTTGCTGTCATTCAACATCCAGCGGGCTGTACCTGTAAGACGTAGTCGAGGACAATGTGCCGGAAGCACTTGCGCGTGGCAGTGAGGATGTTGGTGGCCTCCTCCACCTCGTGCTGCTTGTTACGGGGAGCTTGGGCATTCTTGATCAGCGCCGTCTCCTTTTCCTCGCTCACTTTGTCAAATTGCTTCTTGGCTTCTTTGAACTTACGCAGGTCACTTCAAAGGAAGAGAGGTTTATTAGTATAAACATGACAGCAGATCCTGGGTTTTTGTGCGTCTCTCAGGGTACTCCGGCTTCCTCCCACAGTCCAAAGTGATGCAAAGCTTTGGGTAAACTGGTGAATCTAAAGTGACCATAGAAGTGAATGTGAGGTTATAGCCTGCACGGACGGACAATAACTTATAGCCTTATGACAAAGCCACTTTCAATTGTGTCCAATTAATCTTATAAAAAGGATGTGGGCTTTTCAGCAGTTTGAGCAATCATATATGATCGTTTATACTAATCGTGATGCGTTTTACAACAACCACAAACTTTGGTGGCCGAGTAGGGCTGAACTGTACGAGCATAAAGCCAAAGGAGCTCAACATTTAGTGTCAGAACTCAAGAGACACGACAGCTAATGTCACATTTTAGACTATAAACATGTGAAAGACGAAAGCTTTCACTGAAAGACTGAATTCTTACCCTAATTTAGGACAAACTTTAATGAGTTTCCACGAAGAGTGGGACTTCAATAATCTAAGACGTTAAAGTTTAAAGGGAAAGGTCCATAGTTACAGGAATCTCTGAATATGAATGAGCACGAGAATGGTCAGGCAACAGGAACATGTCAATTTAAAACAAAGGCAAACTCCTTGACCTGCTTCTTGTTAACCACATGCCCCACACTTATCATTTGCAGCCATTTTCCTGAGTGAGATTAAGTCACATTTGAGCACCACAAGATACTGAGTAAAGTATAAGTGCTGCTGATGTGGGTGTTTAGTCCTGATGTGCCAGAGGCAAAAACTGCTAATCCTTATAATGAAATAAACCAGAGAAGCAACTCCTTCCTGTAATTATACAAGCTGCCCAAATCTCTGAGCTAAATTAGGAGAACTGAGGAGGATGTTATGAAGCCTACATAGAAATAAAAATATTCTCTTATGCAATTTAATGACAATGCTGTCCGCATCATCCTGTAGTGTATTTACTCCTGAATATTTTGTGTTTGAAGCTGTGAAAGGTAAGTTAACCAGTTTTTACTGTGGTTAATTAATACTCACTCTTTGACAAAGGTTTGAAGCTGCGTCTTGATTGATCTCTGGGCCTGATCGAATAATATCTGTGAAACAAAAACAGACAGAAAGACTGAGTGACTGCTCCTTCCCATTTGAAGAAAAGGTTTCTCTCTAAACATGTCGAGGAACTTAAGAAACAAAAACCTGACAATTTTATTCTCTTTCTAAGCCCCCGTGTGATTTCTAAGTTAGTTGTCAGCATCTGCTTAGGAGGACGTTTGTTAACATCACAGGGTGCAATTAAGCAGCTAAATTTACTCAAACGCGCTGACTTTGTAAACTCCCCTCATAAAGACACAAACACGAGAAATGACGTGATTCGTTTATTCTCGCTCATGAGTCATACCCTCATTAACCTGCATCCTTCCTTAAAAATGAGCTGAACCAAGCAAAAGGAAAAAAAAGCCAGACGAATGCATTAAATAAGGCTTCGGCGCATATCTGTAGTCAAAAACAGACAATATGAGCAGTGTGGTGCGGAGAGGCCTTCACTGACAAACAGATTGAGCACTGTGAGGAGATCACGTGCTGAAAGATCGCTGAGCAGCAAAATCCTATCTGACAATCAGCTGATGTGACCGCAGTCTCCACCAATGAGTAACAGTCTCAGGCTGTTAGGGAACAAGGCAGCTAAGTTAATATCTCTACTAACTAGTACTAAATATCCTGGAATTGCAGTCTGACCTAAACATAGAACTAAAACTGTGCAGAAGCCAGTTTAACCAAACCTGAAAGGCAACAAACATCTCACTGAGGTGACAACATCTACATTATGTTGCCTCACCTAAAATTTAAAGCCTTTAGAAACTACAGTATGTAACCATGTTACTTCTATTCAACTGTAAATTTTGTATTTCAACTAGCAGTAACGATCACAGTGCAACGCTAACGCCTGGAGGCTCAATCAGGACATGTTAGGCAGAGGTAGTGGAGATAATTCCTGACAAGGGGAATCTCTAAATTCACTGTAGAGAAAGAGGCTCTAGCTCAAGTCCTAATGAGAAGCCCAACAGAGGAAAGTTTCAAGCGCCACCTTAATGCCGACCAGAGACTGACAAGTAGGGAGTTTAAGAAGGAAAGGAATAATCACATAATTAGATCTCTCCTACTGGGCTCCTTGAAGAGTGGGGAAAAGGCATCATGTTGGCTTATTTTAAATGATCTAGCATGCAACACATCTGTTATGGTCAACATTATACTAAAGCTCTTCACCTGTCTGCGGGATGAACTAAACACACAAACACTTTACACCAGTTATGGATGATTTATTCCAACAGATGGATTTCAACCCACACACACAACCAGATCTGCTTATGACATCATGGACCGTTTTACTCCAGGAATTATTTTTATTTTGTAACAAAAGACAAGAAATCCCAAAGCGTTTGTGACTAATGATGGCTGACAATGAATAAAAAAGGAATTTATTGCAGCTGACCCAAGGAGCTTTTTTTAAAACCACTGTTTACAATAGGCATTGTTTCCTGTGTGTTTTTAGCAACACCCTGCTTCACATATTTTACAGCAATATGAAATCTTCCCCCAGGAAGATGCTTATTATAGCCACTTTCTTCACATTCAGCCACCATAGTTCAGTTCTGTGCTAAGCTTTTAAAACATGTTCACTGGACATTTTCTGCTTCTCTTTCTCAGCACAAGGATTTTTTTTTTTAAACGATCTGGATTTTATAGTCACTTGGGGGGGAAAAAAACATGCATCCGGTTTTGGTCAGCGTACCGTGTGATAGTTGATCATCTCCTGCAGACTCTCGGCAAACTTTGTGAGACTGGACTGTGAAGAGAAGGAAGAGGACAGCCATGAAGGCAGGCAAAGAGACAAAGCAAGAATAAAACACAAAACAGCACAAGGTCAAATATAATTAAAACCAGTGGTTCAAAATGCCTGCTAAGCCACAGCTGTAGGGACAAATGCTCCTCAGGTATGAGAGAAAGGAAACCCTGGTGTTTTTGAAGCAACAATAGCACTTTGGGAAAGAATTCTTTTGGCTAAGTTACACTTTTCAGATACACGCAGTGGCTCAGCTTCAAACCTAAAGGGAGAGGCGGTGAACAAAATACACAAAGGCAGCCAGGAAGTGCTTGCCTCGGCATGCAAAATTTATAAGAGAGAACAAAACAAAACATCTGACCTCTGCGAGACCCAGCGGACAGTGCGAGGTTCTGCTAGCCCTCAGTTTTCAAACTTGGATAAATCTCACCATGGATGCAGAGTGAAACCCATTTAGAGTGATCAAACAAAGAGCTAAAGGCTTCTTCACATCTCATGAAGTCAGTAATGCTTTTACACCATCTGTGATGTTTATTTTACTGAGATGTAGAGTTTTCAAAGTTTTACTGGATATTACAGGAGGACTGTCACAACACAAGCTGGAGAAGAAGCAAAAAAATACTTCAAAGCATTTTGTGCAGATAAGATGGAGCAAAATTATATTTTTGTTTACCTCAATGACCTCATCTTTGGTGGACTGCTGTGCAAGCTCCCGGATCCCATTAACAAACTGTTTGTTAGCTGCGTTGTAGGCTTTTCCAGCATCAATCATCCCGATACACAATTTCACCAACTAGAAAGGAAAGAGGCAGACGTCAGTGTTCGAGGGGGTAACGGAGAAATGAAGAAATGCATTAACAATAGAAACACTTCAGTGAACATAAACTAGAAACAGTGCTAGAGATTTCTTCAGGGCATTGTCTCTTATTAATAACAGTGGAGTTCTGCTGCTGAAAATAGATTTGGGATTTTTTGTGGAAACTGGAAACGCAGAGAAAAGGACTAAAATATAAGATACTCAGTGCTTACTCAGTTTATTGGTAATTAACAACAGCCACTTCTTTCCCTTCTGACTCATTGAGGGCAAAGATAATTCCAGGTTATGTAAACTCCCAACAAATTCTGGCCACTCTCCATCTACTCCCACACAGCTGATGACACAGAGGCTGAATGTGCATCTACAGCCAAAGCAGCTACATGACACGCTAAGAAAATGCCAATTTTAAGCAGCTTCCTTCAACAATTACTAAATGTTAATGAACACCTAAAAGCTGATCAAACGCAGACTGACCCTGCTTCACGACTAATTATGAGTGAAGTTTGAGTCGGAAAGAGAATAAGCAATGCTGTCACTCAAAATGAAGCATTTCGCTTAATATTTAACCTCCTAAGACCCGAACTCTTTCACAGCAGCATTTTTAATTTCTCTTTGATATTTGGGCTGATTGGGACACGATGAATGTAAAAACAAAGAATTACCAGATTTTTTTTTTACCTGATTTTTGTTTCTAAGAAAAATGAGAGCCACAAATGAGGATATTCGTTTAAAATTTTGATAGAACAGTAGCAGTATAATGTCCTCGTAAGTGGATATCAGGCTCTTGTAGAGCAAAATTGAGTATTTTGGCCTAAATAACCCAAAATGTGACGTCCACATATGTGGACGCCAGGTCCTAGGAGGTTAAAAAATGCTCTTTTCCCCCAATCATATAACCGTCTCAGCAGTGAGGATACAAAAGAAAAAGACAGGCTCAAAGTGGAAAAAAGTGAAAGTGCTACAAAACATTAGAAGCACAAGACAAGTGGGTCAACACCTTACTCTCACACACATTTACACACATTTCCAGCATGCACACGTGTCATTTCCTTTCCATTTGAACAAAATACTTATCTTTAAATATGATTACACTACAGCTGCCTCAGCCCTGCTGCATGTTGTTAGGGTGTTTTCACACTTGTGGTGTTTAGTCTGTTTAAATCCATTGTGCAGATGTTCATTTGCGCAGATGTAAACGAGGTAACCGCACACCGAGACCCTTTGGAGGAGGTGGTCTCACTCTGGTTTAAAAAACACCCATAGATCTAGAGATGTATTCGCTTTCTGTTGTTGCTCTGTAAATAATTTCTTGTAGCACTTCAGGAATGCTTCAGGTAGACATGCTTTTTCATTGTTCTCTTGGTTCATTTCCAGAACATAAAAAGAGACTTAACACTGATGAGGGAAGCAACAGTTTCACAGAAACAGAACCACAGTGACACCATTCAGAAGACACCAGTATGTGAAAGGTTTCTACTCCATTGTTTGGAAACAGGATGTATGAGAGCAGATGTAATGTGTACACTGTCTCTGTTGATTTACTTCTGATCCAACATGGCTGTGCACGTTATGGTCACACAGGTAAGCAAGCTTGAAGGAAAAGCTGAACTCTGGTATCTGAAGACAACTTCACTTCACCCAAGTCAACACATACACACTCAGACACACACACACACTATCACAGCCATACTCACGCAAACACACCCACTCTCTGGCAGATCCTTCCTCTCCACAGCAAGAGGGGAAGTGAGGCTGAGTCACGGAGGTGGAGTGAGGAGGAGGGTGTAAGAGTAACGCTGTAAGACTAAGTCGAGGAATAAAGAACTGGATTCTTCTACGGTCTCACTCTAAGCAAGAGAACAATTCTGTGGGCTCTGTGGCATCAAGACGGTACAACCGTTGATAAACATGACTCTGTTTGGTTGGATTAATGTCAGTTACACAGGAAAAAACCCAAAAGGCATGAATTGATTGTTGGGGGGGGGAAAAGAAATCTGCATGAAAGCTGGGAAAAGTACCAAAGGCACTCTTCAGGACTCAGGACTATAAATAACACTCCCGAAATATCTCTGCACACAGAAAGTTATTGAGCCAATTATTTTTTAATTTTAATAAGTAATCAAGTGTGAAACAATTCTGTAGCTTTAATATGGATTTCATCAAGTGCTTAACAGTCTGTACTAGGGTTGGGCGGCATGTAAAAATTTTATGTTAACGTGTTAACACTGACAGCACATAAATATATATATATATATATATAAAGTCGCCAATTTGGGATGAAAGAGGTCAATTCAAGGATGTAACCAAAGCAGTGTCCCGCCTGTGCAGACCTATAGTGCGAGCAAACTACTCAAACACAGCTAACTTGCATGAGCATGCACGTGGCCACCATCCGGCTGAGTATGCTAGGCTATCACCAGCTTCTGCAGCTCCATCAACAAGCATTTGATGGAGCTTTTTTTTTTTTTTTCCCTTTCTGTTGACTGGTTCTATTAGCTCCATCTTTATTAGCAAACTTACTCATGGACGAATAATTAAATTGCCCCTTGTAAAAATGATGGCCGATGGGCTCAGCCTATCATTGATAGTCGATATATTCGTCCAGTCGTCCAACCCAAGTCTGTACCACTAAATACGATTGTAAATACCATCCTACGCATGAGTATTTCCTATTAAAAATAAGCAAAACAATAAAAAGCTTTGATAAAAGAATAAATATGCTGAATGGTGAGTAAATGCTGAGCCAGGCAGTAGAGTGGGTCGTCTACCAATCAACAGGCGATGCATGCATCAGTGTGAGTGTGTGAATAACCCTGATTTTGTTTGTATACTACTTTGCATTACTTCATCCAGACCTATTACAAAAACTGGAAACTCTTCTTAAAACATTAACCTCGTCTTTTATCATGAATTCATTTGGCCCCTCCATGAAATCCATTTTTCAAATCCCTAATAATAGGCACACATCCCTTTTCGTGATTTTACAAACGTATGATTTTGATCAACAAAATGCCACAGTTACAATAAAAGACTTGGCATATAGATAGATATTTAATCTGGTCCAAGTAAACCATCACATTGCTGGAAGGGTAACGAGTGCGTTTACTCGTCTGCTTTCATTCAGTCTTGCTCGAAATGCCAAGGAATACAGCGAGGACAAGTCCGAGGACAAACCTGACCTGTTACAGGATGGCTTATGTTGCTGCTGGCTCACACGGTGGAGAAAACGAACAATTAAACAATGTTTTTTCATGGGCGGTACTCACTTTGTCAAGCTTGGATTCCAACTCGCACACATCCCCCTCCACTTCCTCTATGGTGGCTCTGTGAGGACAGAAAATGCAAAGGTTTGAAGTGAAGCGCAACCATGACTCAATACTTCATTGACATTCGGATGCATGAACTGTGAAACAGAGAAAGAAGGTGTACTCAGAGGCATTCTGCTGGAAAGCATGCATACCCTTCATCTTCATCCCATTATCACAGTTCTCCTTATAACCCTCCTGTGTCTACAGAGCAGTTAGGTTAATCTCTGTTCCGCATTATGGCACTTATGTTGATCATAAGTAAAAAGGAAGCAATATACTGCATGCCAATATAAGCAACATAATTTATAGCCACACAGCTTCATCTTTGTCACGTATGCAACTGAAACTGGGTCAAATATTTGTCTTTTATTCAACATCTTGATCATTTTCAGACAGAGAAGAAGAACTTAATTTAATTATAGCAGTTCGGTTCCCCCAACATTCCCGTATTCCACAATTATAGTTTCTGAAAGCGGCAGCTGCAGTAAATGACAATATCCTCCCGTTCGAGCACGTGAGACACACAGACAGACGTCTAGAAGCAGACAAACTGAGAGCTGCCATTTTGGGCCTGAAGTCAGGTCTGGCGTCCTGCCCTCTAAAATGTGACAGAGACACAGCTCGCCTCTCCACAAGATCGACAGCCTACGAGCTTCAGGATACCACAACAGAGGGAGAAGAATAACAAATACATCATCCCAGCAAAGGATCTGTGGATTAATCTCCCCTTGATGTTAATTATCGCATTACTAAGGCTTTTTTAATGCAGGATAGACAAAGAGTATTTTTTCTAAAACTGCATTTATTTATGCTTAATCTGGAGTAAAGAAATAATAAGAAATAACATGGCAAATGCCAACACTTGATAATGATATATGGATTTATTAGACACAGATGTATCTGCAGAAAAGCAACAAGGTCTTTAAGGTGCATCTAAAACATACAACACAACAGCGCCTTTAGCATTAAAACACCAATTTAAGGAGTGCACTGCAACGATATAAGCCCACATATCCTAGAAAAACACATTTAAAATAGGAGAAAAGCTCTGAAATGATGGTGCTAGTGGTGGCACATTATGAAAACTTAATGAATGCGCTGCTGTTAAGTCATGTATCATTAGTTATGCAGTGCAGCTCAGATGTGGCCTTTAGATAATGCATGCTTCACATTTATAACCATTTAGCAGCAGTAATCAACACTGAGGCAAGTTTATTCTTAAGACAATAGCAGCATTAAAACTGTTTACATCTACTAATACAACAGTATCTGTTTCTTATCACGGCGATTCTCTCCATTTCAGGCCTATCAGCCAATCGCCCTTAGCATAAACTCACTGAAGATAAGAACAACAGTTTTACATTTCAAATACAATTTATTCTACTGCAGGAAAAAATGTGTCCAACATCATGCAGTGCAGTGCATGAGTGCCATGTGTCAGTGTAAAGCAGAGGGATTAAGAACGTCACCCTGCAGTAGCAGCGGACGGCTTTCTCCAAACCCCCTGTAGCTGTTTGTTCTCCCATATGGCATCAAACTAAGTCGTGGACATCTGGTCAGTGCCGGGGATCCCTCAACAGGAGAGGCTTGGATGTATGCGCATACTGAACAGCAGATACTGTGAAGTGCAACTGTATGACTTAATTTTATTGTTATTTACATGTCCTCGTCTTTCTTCTGTATGTGAAAGGGATTTTGTTGTTGTTGTTGTTTTTTAATGCAGGATGCACAGATGCAGCAGTCACAATCGTTAAAACTATAAACTAGAATTAGCTTGAGTTGCTGGCTATGCTACAAGGCGCATAGGATAAACCTGGTGGTAAGGCTAATCTGAATATCATGCATGAACAGCAAATCCATCACTCAGTAAGTTCAACTGTGGGAATGCCAAAATCAAACTGCTGAGCTTTCAGAAACTGATATATGCCTTATTCAGCTAAATGCTTGAAGAACCTGCCACATAGAGAAGTCCTTTGCTTTGCAACATGTACTTTATTGCACAAGTAATCTCATGTACTTTGATTAATACATGTTAACATAAAATTACATTAGCTGAATAGATCTTTTTTTGTCTTCTGTGCTTCATAATAAGTATAGGAGGAAGACAGCAAAGTGCTTCTTTTTATGAGTCTTAAATAGCAGTCCAAGTAAAGTCTGTGAACTGAGGTCTTAAGTAGTCCAACAGGGCAGAAACAGGGTCAAAGGCAATAGATGACTGTGCCTCTCTCACACAGATATTAACCGTGGTCAAAAGAACATGCTACAAGCCCCGTTTGTCTTTCTCTGCTGCCACGGGCAAAGGACATTTCTCCAGTGATTCACACAGAATCACCACTGCTCTGCCGACCGTGTCGAGCGTCCGACTTCAGGAGGATTTGACTTTTGCTTGGTGATGTAGTTAGTACAAACGTAAGGAGTACAAACATTTGCCAACACTAAAAACAGAGGGAAGGAAGAGTTAGTTAAAACATGTTTAAGGAAAGCTTTAGTTGTACACTTTACAAAAAAGTGAATTGAATTATTACAATAAAATTACCCAATAACAGACTGTGTTTGTCAGTCAGTCAAATTACTATCTGATTATGTGTTATCTAACATCTTGTCAGGCCAGTTCTTGCTTGATAAAAGTCACTTGATTTCTCTGCCCAGGGGCAAACAACAACATTTAGTATCCAGGTCACAAGTATGAACTATAATAAACATCACTGAAATGAAAGAAGACTGGAAAACTCAGATACAATCTCAGGAACAGACCTAGAAACAATTGTTTTAATTGTCAGTCAGTCAGTCACTGTCATGCTTTCCAAGTAACCGCAAGAAGAAGACCATTTCCTTCTAATCTGAAAAGCTGAGCCTGCAAGCTAAACTTGCAAAAGTGCTGACAGGATAAGAAAAGGAGGGGCTTTGGCAAAACGAACATTTGGGCTATTGCCTCATAGCTCTGAACTTGGAGCATATCCAGGCTGAAACTGGATAATGAGCAAAAGAGGAGAAAGCAGAGGAAAGAAGAGCCACAAAGCTTTGGAAACACCAAGATCGACACTGAAGAGTCATAAAATGTGGTCCCTACTAGACTAAAGTCACCAAAATAGACAAAGAAAACTCTCTCTAAAAGATACCTGAATGCAGGCATTTAAATTAATGAGCAAACTCTAAGTGTGGGTTGTACAAGTGCTGCTCTACATAAACAAAGTGATACAAAATCCACTAAGTGACAAAGCCCTCTTTTCTGTAGTCTGTAGTCAGGACAGTGTGAACCACGGTTTTATCACAGCCTCATAAGACTCCTTTCAATAGAGTTGTCACCAGGTTAGTTTCATGAATTGTGATGAGTGGTATGACAGTCAAATTTCACACTGCTTTACATCATAAATCAGCAGGAAGCAGGGAAAAAAATGTCAAAACAGGTCATCTGGGGGAAAAAGGCCAACAACAAAAACAAAACATCATCCTAATTATGAAGCACAGTGGTGGGATCATCATCATGGGGCTACTTTGAAATCTCTCAGAGAACCAACTGGTTTTAAAGTGTATCAAAAACAATGTTTATAGGTGAACGTCAGAACAGAAGTTCATGGCCCGAAGCTGGGGAGAGGTTAGATGGCTCAATAAGATTATGTGCTTATCAAACAAATCAACAACAGAAATATTGAAAAATCAAGTAAAATTCAGAACCAGCCCTTAAACCAAGAAATATTGGAGCATGACTTCAAAAGGGCAACACTAATGAACTGAAGCAGCAGAAGTTGAAAAGCAGTAACATGAAAGGCAGCATTTTCAGCTGGTTTGGATATACTGACTGCTGACAACTCTGTTTCCACTCCTGGAGTGAGCCAAGCTGAACAGCTGGTTCTAGCAAATGAGACTGAAAGTATACTTGTTGCAGGGGAGTCTGAATACATTTACAGGAGAAAGAAATCCATTTGAAATGTGCTTTGTAGATAGTTGTTTTCTTCTTTTTCTTAAAAACAATATACATTCATATACATATCCACACATGGTATATGCTGTCCTATCAATCATCTGGAACCTGATAAACTAAAGGTGGCAGTGTACGGCCTTCACTCTGGATTAAGTGTACAAAGAGCAAGTAGATATGACAGTCATGAGAAATGCCACATATGCACAAAGTTAACTACACTGGATTTATTATTCTGATCCATTTGATCAGACAAAGTTAAGATATCTATATGGCTTACTTTTATCTGTCATTCTTCTTAAATCCTGTTTATTATAGCTCTTTCTATATTGACTTGTTTCTCTCTTACGTATTTTGGTAAAATGCTTTGTTGCTTGAGACCATGTCTGCTCAGTCTGGTTTCAAGCATTTTACGTTTTATCCTGATTGTTGACTTAAAACTGTTAAATTAGCATCTGAGCAGGTGACACACTGACATTCTTCTTCAGCACTTGATATGGATAATACAAAAAAGCAAAAGCAAAAAGAAAACAAAAATCTCACGCTGTCTTTCACAAGTATGAAAACATGGCAAGTAAGAAGTATATACAAGTTGTTTAAGTGTTTGTATTTATTTTTCCTGGTATTCTGATACAGAAGATACTGCACAAATATGACGACCAGCTGACTTTTGGGTGTAAAAGACTATCCGAGAAGAGAGATTTAAATCATCGTACATCAAACAACTACAAGGATAATTACATAATAATAATAACAACATATCTTGTGTTTATTCACAGCCCTCATTTTTAAATGTCATAGGGATGATATTTGAACAATTTGTCCCATTTAGGATGCATTACCATGGACTGGTGAGAAAAAAAGGGGGTTGGTGTTTATGAGCTTTATACCAACTCTTTGCTGATGTTTTTTTCCATATCTACTCAGGAAGTTGGAACACCTTGAAAAGTAAAATGTACAGTTTGTAATTGGGCAGACCAATAGTACAATTTCAAATTTGGGAACTGCAGCCCTCCTCTGTCATAGGGTAGATATCTGAGTCTTTTTCTGGGCTTTGTATTGTTCCAAATACTGAATGAATCATGTTAAAAAATGAT